AAATCTCCCAACAAAGATAAGTTTAGGATCAGATGGTTTTGCTGGTGAATTCTACCAAACATTTAAAGAATAATTAACATCAGAAGTAAAACTTCTGCTAAAGCAAATACAGAAATGTAACATGCAAAAGACAAATGACTCAGAATAAAAGTTATTTCAGGAAATGGAAACTTTAGAGAAAATATACTTTACATTCAATAAACACAAATAGTATAGCAACAAAGAAATAGCAAAGAACATGAAAAAATAGAAAACAGGACTAGAGAACAAATAATTTGCAAGGGGGGAGGTTTTTAGTGTTTTGGCTTGTTAATTTTCTGCTTTTCTTACACTAGCCATTATCTAATAGAACTTCCTGTGATCATGGAAGTGCTCCATAACTGCTGAGCAATAGTAGCCAGTAGCTATAAGAAGTAAATGTAGTTTTAAAATATTTATCCCCATAATTACAAATAACGTTTTTACTTTGCATTTTAAAAATTGTTAGAAAAACATCATATTACATACCATCTTAATTATTTTAAGATACTTTTCACTAGTATTAAGTATATCCATGTTGTGCAACAAATCTCTAGAACTTTTACATCTTGCATAACTGAAGTACCAACTGAACACTAATTCTGTTTTCCTCCTGCCCCTAGGCCTTGGCAACCACCTTTCTATTTCCTGTTTCTGTGATTTTGATTGCTTTAGATACCTCATATAGATGGAATCATGCAGTATTTTTCCTTAAGCTTATTTTGCTTAATATAATATCCCTAGGTTCATCCATTTTATAGCATGTGACCAGGTTGATAACATTTACATTCTGTTTTGTAATGAGAATTAAGATGTTCAGGATTGTCAGTAGGTAGATTTTAAAAGCTGAATACAATAAACTGCAGTTAATTATTGAGCTAGGTTATTTTTTCTTTTCTGTGGGTCCAAAGTCATGATGCAAATGAAACTCAAAAAATAAAATATTTGATATCAATATAAGATTGATTATCTTTGCTTATAGTTCATAAATTTTTCACAATCCTTTGATTTGCTTTATATTCTGCTTTATAGTCTGATTAGTTTGCCTAATATTGTTTACCTTTCCCCCAAGTCTGTACTTGCCCTTTTTTTTTTTTTTGGTAGAAATGTACCTTTACCGAATCCTCACGTGTTTCTTGCTTGAGTTATAGTGTCTGTCTGTTGGACGGAAGCCCTTGTTTTCCTGGAAATATTCCTCTTAGAGCCCTTCTACAGTCTTGATGTGGAGGAAGCCTACTGTATATCTGTCATTTTGAGATATTCCTTCACTGCATTTCTGGGTTACATTGACTGTTTCTTAGATACCGCATCTTTCTCTCTCTCTTTCTCTTTTTTTGTTTGCATTCTCCCTTTTTCTGCTGGAGTGTATTCATTCTAAATTCTTCCATGTCTGAAAATGGCTTTGGCCTGGCTTATAATTACTTGGGTCAGTTCATTTACCTTTAAACATTGTGCTGCTTCATCATGACTCATCAATTACGTCAATCTCTTGAGATAAAATGAAAATAGAAGAATGATAGAATCACATAGTAGGGTCATAGAATATGGAAAAAATTGTCACTATTGCATCACTTTTTCAGTTTTTTTTTTTGTATTGCCCACATTGCATTATTTTTCAAGAAATTATAGGAGAAGCTTCAAGATACTATCTTTGTAGGCTGCTTTTAGTTTTCATTGAACAGTTACAAATTCAGAAATTTTCATTTCTGCTCATAATGACAAAAAAATGACAGCAGAAGATGTTGCACATCTCTTTGACAAATCAACAGATGACTGTAAAGAAGATAATAGCAGTACTCCAGGCACTGGACTAGTATTGTCCAATAAAAATGTAATGTGAACATTATATAAACGTATATAATTTAAAATTTACCTTAAAAGAGTAAGCAAAGAAAATGGTGTCATTAAGGAAAACAAAAAATACTCAGAATTCTTTTTAAGAATTAACACTCTGTGGAACAGACTTTGCTGTATCTCTTTTATCTCTTCTTTGCTCTCAGATAATTTCTCTTTGTTCCTTTTCCCTGCATTCACGCCCAAATTGGTCGTTTTCGTATACCTCTGTGTAGCTTGATACCTTACTGTTTATTTTATCTCCTTTTATGCCTTACTTCACTTTCACGTCTTCACATCTTGGAATTGAACTCTCCTTTCCCAAAGTGTCAGTTTGTCCCTTTGCCTCAGGCTGTCTTTTTTGAGCTGAAACAGATTGCTTCCAAACTTCTTTGACCACAACCTATAGTAAGAAGTATATTTTATATTGTGACCCAGTATACATATAGACACTCTCATCAGCACATATCTGAAACAGCAGTTTCAAGAAATACCCTTAACCATTATGAGATGTCCTGTACTCTTTTTTTCCTATCCTGTTTCATTTTTTAAATGCTGATTATAACCCACTGTATTGACAGACCAATGGGTAAGAACATTTATAATTTTAGGATATTGATCTATTGTTCTCAATGAGCTTGTACCATTTTATACTCCCACCAGCAATGTATGAGAGTAATGTTTCCTGAAGGATATTTTGTCTGGATGCAAGATTCTGGGTTGGCAGTCCTTTTCTTTCAGCACTTAAAAAAATCAAAAATATGAATATAAATTTAAAATGTTAACCATAACCACAGTGGTCTGTTAAAGAAAAATTTTTCTTCTAAATCATAATTACTATGAGTAAAACATAATATAAATTTTGTTTATTACTACAAATAATTACTGAACATAGATGCATCTCTTCAGAGGGAATTGCTTCTTTTATGGAATTTATCTGTGGATGAATATTACTTTTGTTAGAATAAGACTAACTGGTCTCAGTGAAAATTAGTAATAGAAAGAAAAAATATTGGGTTGTTAGTGTGAAGTTTACAAAAGATTAAGTGATAATTTTGTTAAGTATGTAATTTACAGTAGAATTTATGGTACATTTCTACCAAATGAATCTATAATAAGGCCATGTAGGAATGAAAAATTGAGCTGAGAAATACTTGTCCAAGTTTAAAAAATAGGGATTTTTTTTTTTTTGCCAGTATTCTTTTGGCAAAAGTTAATAAAAATGTTTCTTAATGTTCAAGAAAATATGAAACATGAAATTAACTTTGATGTATATTACTTGAAGATATGACATGGATTTGAAGAAAGGGCTCTCTCTATCTTCTAAGTCAGAGTCAGGTGATTGATAGAACATACTCATTTCTTTCTCATTTCTCTGATAACGATGAAGGTACAGATCTTGAATTGTAATTAAAAATGCTTCTCAGATCTTGAATTCTAAATAATTCTGGATAATTATGTAAGGTGTCTTGCCATAAACTTTTTACCTGGGTAAACTAAGTTGTAGCTGACTTCAGTATTTATTATCACTGTTTCCATTGGATTTTCTCTGAGGTGAGCTTCTGTTATCATCTTCTAAAATTTTAACAGCCCTACCCCCGTTTTTTAAATGTTAAGTATTCTCCTTAACAGAAGTGTATGGGACAGAGAAAGACAAGATCGCTTTGGCTAAATGGTGCCTCCATTAAAAGATATCAATGTTTCAAATGATTTCTTTGGTGTTCTGGATGTTTCTGCATATCAGGGAATTGCATTGTAGTGATATCTTTTTTTTTTTTTTGCCATCTTGCATCGCAATTTTTTTATTCTTATTAAGTTTTTTGGGGGTAACATTGGTTAATACAATTAAATAATTTTCAAGTGTACATTATAGTTCGACATCTATGTCTTCTATTTTGTGCTTACCACCCAAAGTCCAGTTCCTTCAGCTACCATATATTTAATCCCCTTACCAATTTCACCCTCCCCATACCACCCTATATTTTTTTAATTGATAGTTAAAATAGTGCTTTTCTGATGAACAATTAAAATGCTTTTAATATTGTGGTAAGTATTGTTAACATTTCTGATAATTTTTATTTTAATAATAAAAATTAATGGCCATGATAAGACTGTTTTATAAAATCATACTGGAAATACAGGGTAATAAAAGTACCTACCTACCTCATAGGGATGTCGTGAAGATTGAATTAGTTAATGCATGTAAAGCACTTAGAACAGGGCTTCACATATAGTAAAGTGCTTGGTAACTATTAGTAATTGAGAATGGTGTCGAGACTGACTTCTTTACCATCGTTCTGCAGGAGAGCCCCTGATGGTCAGTTGATCAGTTCATCCATCCATAGGGAGCCTAGCTATTGGCCCAGGGCAGTCTTCCCTCAGGCTCTTGTGAAATCCTCCTGAAAGGATCTTCCTCCCTGAGGACTTTCCCTCAACTTCCTTCCCAAGAGTCTTTTCTGAGACCCTTGAGGCTAGGGGGCTGGGAAGAGCTTCAGAATGACTGGTATATTGTAATCAGTATATTGTGATAGAGTGGTTAAAGTTTTAAATGGGATCTGCTTTTGAGCTCTGTGTGACTGTGTGACTCAGGGCTAATTGTTTTACCTCTTAATTTCCTCGCTCACCTGTCTCGTCTCAGAGATGCCTTTTCTCATCCCTTTTGTTTCTCTGAGCAGCTGCACTGGCCGCCTTTTACTTCCACACAAATGCCATATTCTCTCGTACCTCTGGCCCTTAGAACATGCTGTTTTCTTGGGATGAAACATGTTCTTTATCTACCCCTCTCCCTTTGCTTTATTTGGCCAGATCATACTCACGCTCATATTAAATGCCCCTCTTTTAGAGGGCCTTTTCTAACTAAGTTCCACCAGACTAATTTGTATCTCTGCCATGCTTTCTCTTCACATCATCATGATTCTTAAAGGCTTTCATCTCATTTGGAATTGCTCTACAGACTGAGCTCCCAGAGGGGTTGATGAGATTTGACATGTTCATTGCTGTGTCCCCAATTCCTGGCACAGAGGAGGCCCCAATTAATATTGAGTATATGGATGGGAAAAAAATACTAGAGGTATTGTTACTTGGAATTTGGTTAACATTATTTCCAAAGCTGCCTTTGTTTTACAGAATTTTTTTTTTTCCCTGTAAAGCTGCTGAAACTTGGAAGCTGATTCTGTCACAGTGTAAGATGCCTTTGGAAAATTCTGCATTCCTCTTAGATGAATCTTTAGAACTTGGTGAGTTTCACTAGATACCTTTAATCTTCATTTTGAGCTCATAAGTATGCCATCTACCCTCCACCTCCAACCCCTCCATAATTATTGGGTAGTGAGGTTTGAAATCGCCTAGTAAGGAGCATAGGATGAAGTATTATAAAAATATTTAGGGCATGATCTGTAACTTTTCTTGATAGTTTTAATCATCTTAAGAATTTTCATTCTTATGAGGTGTGAAAAGTTATTCATTGGTTAAATAATTGATATCTAGATGTAAAATATTTTTAGCAATTCCTGATGTTTTTCAGTTATTGCTCAGAAGTAAGAATGATAACTTCTTGTATTTTTCTGAATTGAAGATAATTTGCAAATGACTGAAAAGTAGCATAATAATTATTTCCTGTCAGATTTTAGGTTTAGAGATAAAGAGTCAGTTGATTAAGGTAAAGGTCAATCACTTACTCCAGCTTACAAGCAACTCCAGCTTACAAGCAAGTCTCTCCATCAGGGGTCTGCACATTACCAAATTCAGCCTGCTGCCTGTTTTTTTTCTTTCTTTTTTTTTTTTTCCTTTCTTTTTTAATGACCCACAAACTAAGAATAGTGTTTATATTTTTAAAGCATTGGGGAAAAATCTTAGAAGAAGAATACTATTTTGTGACGTGTAAAATTACATGAAATTCAGAATTCAGTGTCTATGAATAAAGCTTTATTGGAACACAGCCACTCTTATTTTTTACTTATTTTGTATGACTGTTTTTAAGCTATAGTGGCAGAAATGTACATGATAGATGAAATTTAATAGGCTACACGTAAAATTTGTTGAAGTTCCAAATTGTACTAATTGGTATTTAACTATGATTTTTTGATTACAATAATTGATGAGATAATCAACAATACTGTTACTATAAAGATCTTATCTCTGCATAGCAGTTTTTACATTTGCAAAGTTATATTTCATTCTGTCTCCACATTACTATGAAATAACTAAATCCATTTTGTAAAATATTTATAAGTCATAAACTTATTAAATATAGAGTTAAGTAGTTGCATCAGAGTCCTTAGGGCCCAGAAAGCCAAAAATATTTACTATGTTGCCCTTTCTAGAATAAATTAGCTGACTTCTGCTCTGTGTGGTTGGAGAGGTATTTATAGGTTGGGTGCTAAGGTTTAAGAGATGAGTGGGAGGAAATTAGAGAGAGGTGAGAGTCGGTACCAACTCTCACTGACTTATTTACACTTTTTTTTCTATCCTGTAAAGTGTAACCCATATTCTCCTTAGACTGACATGTATTCCTGTTTTAAAATAGAAAATAAAGAAAAATCGATTCTCCTATTACTTCTAAAATGAATGTATGTATATAGAGAAAATTAGTATAGTATTCTCAGTTTTTACCAGGTTTTAATGTTACAATAATATCTTAAGCACTTAAAAGATTATACCTTTGATGCAGTTTATTTTTTTCTAACGTATGGCAATTACCTGTTATTTTTTAAGTGAAAATACTAACATTATTTGGAAAATAGTTGGTGATTGACTTAATGGAACAAAGCATGTTGAGGACGAAGGTATATGGTCTTTTGGAGTCAGTGGATAGGCTTGAAGGATAATCTTAACTCTTTCTGTTGTCTGACACAGTCACATTAAGTTTTACATTAGGAGATAAAAGGCCATGATTTTGAGTCAGAATCTTCTCTGGTTCTAAGAGGTCTGTTTCATGAAACTTTGGTTTTGGGTGTGCTTTTTGTTCTGAAGTTGGTCTTAGAAACTGCTATAGAGCCAAGAATGTTTTTTTCTTGCTTATATTTTATATCTATTCTAGAGCTAGTCTGATATTCCCAGTCAGTATTGAATACATTGAGACTACTGTTTAATTTCATCTTTACTCAAATATTAGACAAGTTTAAAAGTATTTGAGTCTTTCTTCATAAGTTAAAATTGTTCTCAGAAATAATTATCTTTTTAACTATAATATAATCACTTTGTAATCTACAGACACAAATAAGAATTTTTCATAAATGGTGATAAACGTAGTTAAGGATCGTTGCTTAGGTTTTATGTTATACCAGTCAGTTAAATTTCAGCACTGCTTTTAATTAATGCTAATAGATCCATCAGTCCAGATTTAACTAACCTAAATTCCAAAGTAGGTCAGTGGGTTAATAGGTTATTAGGTTAGAAAAGATTTATTGTTTCCATTTCTTTTAAAACCATGTTCTTGAGTTAATCATTTTAAATAATAATTTAAAAATTATTAATAGAAAAAATTAAAAATTTCCTTAAATTATGTGAACACTACATAAGAAAAAATTTTTGGTATTCATATTGAAAAAAATCTTTGTTACTCATGGTTTGTTTTCTGGATAAACATGAATTTTACATTCCTTATGTAGAGCCAGGCCTCCAGTATTAAACAGTTAAGAGAAACAGGAAAGAAAAGGCTTCACTTAAGTTTTCCTGGCTATAAAACTAATGTATATTCATGGAAGAAATTTTCGAAAGTACTAAAGAAAAAGTTTTTAAAACATCCATAAGCTAATTACTGAAGAGTAACCACAGTTGTACTTTTGGCATGTTTGGGTTTGTATTTAATATATATTGATGCTATGGTTACTGCTGTTGGATGCTTAAATTTTTTCTAGCTTTACTATTTAAAATAACAGTACAGAGAATATAAAACTTTAGATACATCTCCAATTATTTACTTTTTTTTCTTGAAGTCAAGTTACTGAATCAAAGTACATAAATATTTTCAAGTTGTTGATACATCTAACCAAACTTTTGTAAGTGAAAGAACATTGCTAATTGAAATTTACAGACCTCTGAAGTTCTCTCCATACCAAAAATTTTAATTTAGTAAAATTCACCCTAATTTTCCTTCTTGAAGTTAAAAATAAAAACTAAAGTAGATACGTACACAGTACACACACACACACACACACACACACACACACACGGGATATGAGGGGAGAAACGAATGTGAAGGAGCCATAATCTGAATAGTTAGGTCCTTGATAAATACGTAAAGCAGGTCATTAGTCACTGTGGGGTTAGTAATTCGGCCTTTTTTATATTAGCTGATACAGAGACTTCAGTGATAGTAATTTATGTACATTCATTAAAATTCTTAAATCCATCATCTGATTAAAGTTTTATTTTTATCAGTTAAACTTTCTGGAATGCTTTCTTCATTATATGGAACTACTGAGGACTGATTCATAGTAAATAGAGTTCAAATAATGAGTACTGTGGCAGCTCCTGTGTAGTTATTATGTTTAGATCATATCATTAGTCTACATCATGGTCGTATAGGAAAAGGCCTAAGAAATTCTTTGTTGTTAACTAATTCCTTCAAATTATTAAGTGCCTATAAATCAACAGCTCTTCCTAAATCCATAAGAGAGGGGAGAACATAGGGCAAACCACTGGCCCCAAGATCAGAGAGTCAGACAGGCAAATACAAGGAGTCATGGCTTTCTGGAACACTAATTCATAAGCTGAAACCACCTCAGGAAGAGGGCTGGGTAAGAAACCTGAACTGTAATTGACAAATTGCTGGAGGTTCGCTGTAGACCTGGTCATAGTGGGGCCCTCACAATATTGTAAAACTTAAGATTTACTTCCAAGAGCTTGACCAGGTCCTCACAGTAGACGTTAGAGAAAATTCCCTCTTGTTTCCAGGAGGGGGAGGGAAGAAAGAGCACCTTTGAAATACACCAGAGGACTCTATTCTGTACAAGGCCTGCTTTCAGGGGGAACTGGTTAACTGGAGCCTAACTTGCTGGGTTTTTGTCAAAACCTGAGTTACCTGGAAGAAGGGAAATACCCAGCATCAGCCCTCTTTAGCCTTTCACATGGGAGAAAGGAAATACTCAAATCTAGCCTACTCTAATCATTCTATCTCACCTAAGTTGGGGGAAAAAACAAAACCGAGAAACACTTGTGAAGTTCAGAGTCCAGAGTGAGTATAGGCTCACTAAAAGACTGAAAGCTAATAACTGCAGAATGCTCCCCTCTGCTGACACCTCACCACCACATTACTAAAGGCCTATTTACAAGTTTGTTTTACCCAGTACATCATGGCCAGCAAGGAAGAAAAAATTACAAGGCATATCAAAAGGCAAAAATCACAATTTGAAGAGATAGAGTAAGCATAGGAACCAGACATGGCAAGGATGTTGGACTTACCAGAGCAGGAATTTAAAAAACTGATTAATATGCTAAGAGTTCTTCTAATGGATAAAGTAGACAGCATCCAAGAACACATGGATAATGTAAACAGAGATGGCAATCCTAAGAAAGAACCAAAAGAAATGTCAGAGATAAACACTGTAACAGAAATGAAGAATGACATCGATGGGCTTACTAAGACTACTTATAGCTGAGGAAGGAAACTCTGAGCTGAAGGATATCGCAGTAGAATCCTGGAAAACTAAAAAGCAAAGAAAGCAAAAACTGAAAAAAACAAAAAAACAACAAAATAAACAATATCCAGGGATAGTGAGACAGCTACAAAGATGTAACATGAATGTATTGAGAGTATCAGAAAGAGAAGAAAGAAAGGAACAGAATATTTGAAACAGTAATGATTGAGAATTTCCTCAAATTAATGTCAGACACTAAACTACAGATACAGGAAGCACAGAGTCCGCCAAGCAGGATAAGTGCCCCCACCCCCCAAACTACACCTAGGCATATCATTTTTAAACTACAGAATATTAAAGATAATAGTCCTGAAAGAAGTGAGGAGAAAATTCACCTTAGAGAGGAAGCTCCGTATCTGTTGAACAGCAACTCCCTATTTCCCCGCTCTCGGGCCCCTGGCAACCACCATTCTGCTTCCTGCTTCTATGAATTTGACTACTTCAGATACCTTATGTAAGTGGAATCATGCATTATTTGTCCTTCTGTAACTGGTTTATTTCACTTTACAAAGTGTCCTCAAGGTTCATCCATGTTGTCACATATGTCAGGACTTCTATTTTAAGGCTGAATTCATTGTATGAATAGACCACATTTTCTTTATTCAATGTGTTGATGGATATTTAGGTTGTTTCCAGTTCTTGGCTATTATGAATATACTGCAGTGAACATGAAAGTACAGTTATCTCTTAAAGATTCTATTCTCAGTTCTTTTGGATAAATACCCACAAGTGGTAATGCCGGATCCTATGGTATTTCTATTTTTAAATTTTTGAGAAATCTTTATATTGTTTTCTATAGCAGCTGCACCATTTTATAGTCCCAACAGTTCGACAGTGTTCCTGTTTCTCCACATCCTTGCCAATACTTGTTAATCTCTGATTTCTTTGTTTTATTTTTATATGGGCCATTCTAACAGATATGTGGTATTTCATGGTTTTGATTTGCACTTCTCTAATGATTAGTGATGTTGAACATCTTTTGACATATTTGTCAGCTATCGTATATCTTCTTAGGAGAAATGTTGACTTAAGTCCTTTGCCTATTTTTTAATCGAGCTATTTGTTCTTTTGCTGAATTGTAGGAGTTCCTAATATATTTTGGATATTAACCCCATATCAATCAGATAAATGATATGCACATATTTTTTTCTGTTCAGTAGGTTGCCTTTTTATTGTGTTGATGTTTTTCTTTGCTGTGCAGAAGTTTTTAGTTTGATGTAGTTCCATTTGTCTATTTTTGCTTTTATTTCCTGTTCGTTGAGTGTCATAGCTGAGAAATTATTACCAGATCCATTGTCCTTAAACTTTTTTCCTATGTTTTCTTCTATGAGTTTTATAGTTTTAGGTCTTACATAGAAGCCTTTAAACTATTTTCATTTGATTTTTTTGGTATGGTGTAAGATAAGGATCCGGTTTTATTCTTTTGCACGTGAATATCCTGTTTTTCTAGCACCATTTGTTGAAGAGACTGTTCTTTCCCATTATGTAGTCTTGGCACCCTTGTTGAAAATTATTTAACTGTAAAGCTTGGAGTTAATTTCTGGGCTGTATATCTGCCTTTATTCCAGTACCATACTGTTGTGATTACTGTAACTTTTTAAATATTTTCAAGTCAGAAAATGTGAAGCCTTCAGCTCCATTTTTCTTTCTCAAGATTGTTTTTGACTATTTGAGATCCTTTGTGGTTCTATATGAACTTTAGGAGTTTCTTTTTTTTCTATTTAAGCAAAAAATATCAGAGATTTTGATATAGATTACATTGAATCTGTAGATCTCATTGGGTAGTATGGATATTTTAACAATATTAAGTCTTCCAGTCCATGAACATGGATGTCTTTCTGTTTGTGTCAGATTTAATTTCTTTCATTAGTGTTTTATAATTTTTAGTGTACAGTTCTTTTGCCTTTTTGGTTAAGTTTATTCATAAGTATGTTATTCTTTTTGATATTATAAATGGCATTATTTTCTTAATTTCCTTTTCAGATTGTTCATTGTTAGTGTATAGAAATAAACTGATTTTAGTATATTGATTTTGTGTCCTGCAACTTTGATGTTTATTAGGTCTAGTGTGTGTGTGTGTGTGTGTGTGTGTGTGTGTGTGTAATCTTTAGGGTTTTCTGCATGTAAGGTCATGTCATTTGTGAACAGATATTTTACTTATAACTTTCTGATTTCAGTGCCTTTTATTTCTTGCCTAATTGCTCTAACATAATACTATGTTAAAAAGAAGTGGTGAGAATGGGCATCCTTATCTTATTCATCATCTTAGAGGAAAAGCTTTCTATTTTTCACTGTTGAGCATGATCTTAGCTGTGGGCTTTCATATATGGCCTTTATTATGTTGAGAAAATTTCTGTCTAATCCTAGTTTGTTTAGTGCTTTTACCACGAAAGATGTTTAATTATATCAGATGCTTTTCTGCATCAAGTCAGAGAATCATGTGATTTTATCCTTTTTCTGTTAATGTGGTATATAACATTGATTGGTTTTTGTATGTTGAGCCATCCTTGCATCCCAGGGATAAATCCCACCTGATCATGGTGTATGATCTTTTTTATGTGTTGTTGAGTTTGGTTAATATTTTGTTGAAGATTTTCACATCTATATTCATTGGAGATATTGGCCTGTAGTATTCCTTACTTGGAGACTCTGGCTTGTGGTATCAGGTAATGTTGGCTTCATAAAAATGAGTTTGGATGTGTTCCATCCTCTTTAATTTTTTTTGGAAGTGTATGAAAAGAATTGGTGCCAATTAATTCTTTAAATGTTTGGTAGAATTCTTCAGTGAGTCTGTTTTGTCCTGGACTTTTTTTTGTTGGGAGAGTTTTGATTACTGGTTCAATATTCTTACTAGTTATATAGATGTATTCAGATTATGTTTCTTCATTGTTCCGTCTTGGTGAGTTGTATGTTTCTAGGAATTTATCCATTTCCTCTGGGTTAGCGGTCCCCAACCTTTTTGGTACCAGGGACCAATGCTCCTATGAGAATCTAATACCTGATGATCTGAGGTGGAGCTGAGGCGGAGATGCTAGTGCTGGGGAGTGGCTGCAAATACAGATGAAGCTTCCCTTGCTTGCCGCTCAGCTTTTGCTGTGCAGCTGGGTTCCTAACGGGCCATGGACTGGTACCGGTCCATGGCCCAGGTGTTGGGGGCTCCTACTCTAGGTTATTCAATTTGTTGGCAGCTAATTGTTTATAGTAGTTTCTTACGATATTTTGTATTTTTGTGGTATCAGTTATAATGTTCCTTCTTTTTGTTCTTTTCTAAAAATTCTTTGTCTCTTTGTTTCCATTGTTTCCTAGTCTCTATTTTGTTTACTTCTGGTTTTACATTTATTATATCCTTCTCTCTGCTAACTTTAGGCTTAATTTGTTCTTTTACAAGTTTTCTAGTTTTCTGAGGTGTAAAGTTACGGTCTTTATTTGAAATCTTTATTCTTTTTAATGTAATATTTACCACTGTAAACTTCATTCTTGGTACTGCTTTTGCTTCATTCCATAAGTTTTGATGTGTTATGTTTTTGTCTGTCTCGAGATATTTTCTAATTTCTCTTTGAATTCTTCTTTGATCCCTTCTTTGACCCATTGATTGTTCAAGAGTGTTGTTTAGTTTCCACACATTTGAATTTTTGTTTTCCTCGTGTTACTGATTTCTAGTTTTATTCCATTGTGGTCAGAAAAAGATATTTGATATGATTTCAGTCTTCTTAAATTTAGTAAGACTTGTGACCTAATGTGACCTGTCCTGGAGAAGTTCCATATGCACTTGAGAAGAATGTATATTCTGCTGCTGTAGGGTGGTATATTCTGCATCTGTCTGTTAAGTCTATTTGGTAAATAGTGTTTTTCAAGCCATTTGTTTCTTTATTGATCACCTGATTGGATGTTCTATCCATATTGAAACTGGTGTGTTGAAATCTATTATTGTATTGCTGTCTTTTTCTCTGTTCAGTTCTGTTAGTGTTTGCTTCAAATATTTGGGTGCTCTGATATTGGGTGTGTATATATTCATAATTATATATTCTTGATGAATTGACCTTTTTATCACGAATGTTCTCTTTTGTTTTTTTTTGTCATAGTTTTTGACTTAAAGACTATTTTGTCTTATATAAGGATGGCCACTCCTGCTCTCTTTTAAAAAGTTACCATTTGCATGGAATATCTTTTTCCGATCTTTCACTTCTAGCCTTTCTGTGCTCTTCAGTCTAAAAGTTGAGTCTCTTATAGATATGGAGCCAGATCTTTGTTTATTAAATTCATGTAGCCACTCTGTCTTTTGATTGGTAACTTTAATTCATTTGTATTTAAATACTGATAGTGAAGGACTTACTATTGCCATTTTGTTCATTATTTGCCTTCTTGAAGCTTTTTGTCACTTCATTCCTCTTTGTTGTCTTCCTTTGTGGTTCATTGATTTTTTTTTTTTTTTTTGTAGTGACATACTTTGATTCCTTTCTCATTTTCTTTTGTGTATTCTCAGCCTCCGTGACGTTTTCTTTGTGCTTACTATGGGTCTTACTAAAACGTCATATAGTTTTAACAATATATTTTAAGCTGATAACAACTTAACTTAAGTAACTCTATTCTTTTCTCCCCTCACCAAACTTTGTTAGAGATGTCACAAATTATCTTTTTATATTGTGTATCCATTAACATATTTTAATAGTTGTTTTTATACTTTTGACTTGTGCTAGAATTAAAAGTGATTGGTTTAGTTTATTTTTAAGTTCTTTTTAGAAATAATTTGTAGAATTTAGCATTTCTAATATACATTTTTGTGACAAAGTTCTAAATTTTATGTTTCAAAATTTAAAACTTCTTTCATGATAAACTTATAAGTTTATCAACTATATAAATTGAGTAAATTAACAAATTAATGTTTTTCTTGTTTAAACAGAATTTTGAGACTGATGGTCAGCCATATAGAAGAATACATTGAACCTATAGTTTTCTGAAGAATCAGTTCAAAAGATCCAAAAAGTAGAAAAGGTAATGATAGGGTTGTGTCTTGGAATGCACTTTGGAATGACATTTTTCCAGAAAAATATACTTTTGAAAATCCATAAATTATGTTGACACACTAATTTGAGGAAATATTTATTTAAAAATTTTTAGTATTAATTTATCCCAAAACATTTATTTTGCCAGCTGTGTTCAGGTACTACTTTATGTACTGGGAATACAGTGATGAACAAGACAGAAGCTGTCTCTGCTCACAAGACGATTGCATTCTAAAGAAGAGGACAAATAATAAACAAACACATTGAAAATTTTGTGGTTTTATGCAGAGAATTAAAATGGATAATGTGATAGAGACTGGTGACTGCTTTCATTAGGTAGGAAAAGAAGCCTTTATTGAAGAATTTTTCAGTTGAGTTCTGCATGGCCAGAATGTGCCAACCACGTCCCCTTTCTTGGGCAGTTATCGTAGGAAGCAGTGAAACAAGAATGACCATGGAATGCTTGAAGAACAGAAAGAGCAAATGTGGCT